TTTTTAATCTTAAGGGTGATCAAACACTGGAATTTCCATCCTTTGAGATACTCAAAACTTGGCTGCACAAGGCCCTGAGCAATCTGTGCTTTAACTGTTTTTGCATTGAATAAGGGGATTGGTCTACAGATGTGCCTTCCCACCTCAAAAGCTGTGTGATTTAGGCAGTGGTTAGTGGTTTGTACTGCACGTGCAAGCTGATAATAAATTAGGTACCACCGGGGGCTATCCTGAAACTTTTTCAGTCTAACATCTTTATCGAGTACTAGAGAAGGCAGTGGAGTGCACTCTCCTCATATCTGTAATTTCCACCAAATTGGTGGAACAGTTCATTTGTTAAAGAGTGAAGGGACCTGAATCTAGAAGTGCTCTGATTGTCTGGCTTGGAGAAGAGAAATTGGGAGATCCAATTGAGCCTGTTGAGAGAAAACCTTTTTCCTAGTCAAGCAGTGGAGCAGATTCTACTGCATGCTCTACCTGCCTCTGTAGGAGGAGGTTGGAGGATTTCAAGACCCATGTGGGCAAAGCCCTGAGTAACCTAGTTTGGCCTCACAGCTGGTCCTGCTTTGAACAGAAAGCTGAACTAGAGATGTGAAGTCCCTCTCAGCCTGAATGACTCTGATTTTTCAGTTAAGTTTCACTGACAAATTTTTCATGTTCTGTTTGCATGTGAGCTGTTTGCATATGTGGTGCCACTCTTTTGCTGTTCATTATGTAGTTTAGCAGTCCTCTTGTAAACTGTTTTTTTAATGGTTTTTGACTTCACAGAATACTTATTCTGTGGAATAGAGGAATATTATAAGCCATAAACTTGTGGCTGGTATGTATCCAGAAGTCAGAACACTGCTTTAGCTATGACTTGCATGCTCTGGAGGAGGGAAGGAGATATTCAGCATTGTGACTGTGTGACATTTTGGGGGTGGAAAGAAGTAACTCTGCTTTCCTGTCAACTTAATTCTGTTTAGTATGCAGGGTTTGTTATTCAGGTAGAACCTTTTTGCTGCCTGTGGTGTAATGGTTAGCTTTGCTTTGTGAGCTGGTATTGCCTGTTTGCAGGCTAGAGCTTGCAGGGTTTACATGGTACAGTCTGCAGAAAGCAGTTGCCTGTTACTAGTTCTCACTTTGCTGTTTCAATGGTTGAAGTGCTAAATGTTTGGCAGGAAGTCTTGGGATGAGCTTTTCCACTGAAGAAAACAGGAATAAGGTTTACAGATATGGCTGTCCCAGACCTCACCGATCTGGCCAGTAAATGTTTGCTGGACCACTAAATATAACTATGGCTTCCATGTTGAGTACCCCAGGTGTATTAGTTTTGATCCTCTGAAGGAATTTTTCAGTCTTTATGACTTCCTTCATTCTCTAGAGACTTTCTTGTGTGTATGATTTCAAGGGATTGGGAGACTTCTTGGGAAAAGACAGATATGCCATGTAATGGTAGCAAGTTCATAATGCAACTCTGATAACAGACATTAAGAGCAGTAGAGGTATATAATCTTAATTATTTGATGCATAATCACAAGTGAAAGTAGATCTCTTTGATGAAATCCTGTGAGGGCATGTTCATGCAGCAAAGTTTTGCATTTCTGTATAAACAACAGTGAAAATCATGATGAAAAAAATTCTTGTTAAATAATTTTTATGTTGATAGTGATGTATTTGGCAAGGTAGTTGCTAAATTGTTGCTAAATTGTATTTAGCAAGGTAGTTGGCTCAGGATGCTTATGAATTTGAGAACCTTTCCATATTTATTTCCATATAAAATAAAATGCTTTGAAAGCCCTGTGAACAAAAGGTAAAACTGTCCAAGAAATAAAAATAAACTTTGTAATGCTTCCAGAATTAATATTGCTGAAGCATCACTAATTGATTTCCTTTAAAAAATAAAGAAAAATGCATGTTGCCTTTACCATGATGAGCTTTCTTGTGTGTTTTTTCACTTTGGCCTCTTTTGTATCAGTTACCCATGGAACATTACCATTGCATATTGCTTCTTTGATGTACTCTCTTGGTTAAACAGAATATATGACTTTCACTGAGAATACATGACTGCAATGGTGTTTTCTTATGCCTTTGAAAGGCAGGAAAACTTACATGTAGTCAATAATTGTGCATATATGTGTTTCTCTTTTAGTGGAGGCGATAGTGGAGTTTGACTACAAAGCTCAACACGATGATGAGCTGACAATCACTGTAGGTGACATAATCACCAATATCAAGAAAGATGATGGAGGCTGGTGGGAAGGACAGCTCAAAGGCAGAAGAGGTTTGTTCCCTGACAACTTTGTAAGAGTGAGTACAAAGTGGAACTGTTTTTGTGTTATGTGTTTATGTTTTATGTACTGTGCTGTTCAGGCTAAATATCAGCCTTTATATAATCTCATATCAAAACCATAATATATTGCATATGCACATGTATTGTGTATATAGGTATATTGCATATATATAATGCAATGTTCTATTGAGACAACATTACAACAAAAAGATTACTTCCCTTGCAAAGACAAGCTGAAAATAAAAGAAGCTACCCCTACATTTCTCTGGTGTTCAGTGAAAATACTTGACTTCATGGTCTAAGAAGAAAGTGGTTATTCTAGAACAACTTATAGGCCATTGCATTTTAAATACTTTGTCTTCTCTGTAACAGATTCTGCTTTTCCCAAATGTTTTCTTAGGTTTTATAGAAGCTTTTTTTGGTGAATATTTATTCCTGGTTAAACTAGTTGAGAATAATTAGATTTTTCTGTACAGTTGACTATTAAAAATTTTAAAGAAAAGATTAATTTGTATTCACGTAATATACCAGATAACTTGCAGTAATCCTTGTTTTAGGACAACCATTCATAGGTTTAGAAATAAATTATTTTTTTTACTGGGCATCTGTGTTTGCACACATATGCCTGCACATACGAAGCCAGCTATTAGTACCTCTGGTCCTCCTTGATTTGTCATTGCAGATGTAGGCTGTTAATTTCCATAAGTTTCCATAAACCTGGCTCTCCACAATGGAAAAGAGACCAAAAACTACAATAAATTATGTAAATAAATTTTATGTTAATCTTTTAGTACAGCTTCTGAGGATCTTTGGTACTTTCCCTTTTCTAAGGGTATAAGTGTCTTTCTTTTTTATTTTTTTAACTTCTTCTACTGTTGTGTGTTTAGACATATGGACATAATGAAGTAATTTCATTTTGCTCCCATAGTGCTGCATATGTCGAGGTCACTGGGGAAGTGGTCTGGCTGTGAGTTTAGCCAGCCCATAGCAGGGGGTGTGGGGGTGGACAGGGAGCCCCGAGGGGCTGCTGTTATTTCTGTGGGGGTGAGCACACACCCTGATCCTTGCTCCTGTCATTGGCAAGAAGAAGGAGCAGTTCTGTGTGTGTGAGGCAGCAAAAATTAGGAGCAAGCCAGGGATTCAATGAGAGGAAAGGGCACGGTGGAGGACAATGAATAATCTGGTTTTTGCTTATCTCTGAAAATACACACTTTGAGCTAGGGGAAAGAAACTGTTTTGGTATTCATTGTGTATTGGTAATATTTTTCTGCTTGAACTCTGGTGAAGTGAACTGTGGGACAAATGCAGACTTCCTCTAGGCTTTTTCCTGGCTGATATTTTAAATTTGCTGCTGATTTTAGGAGGTGTCAGATTTAGTATCCTAAACAACTGCAGCCTATGAATGTCTGCTATGGGAACATAATAATCTAAAGATTTGTAAGTTGACACTATTAGTACTTAATTTTAAGGCCTCTTCTTTCCAAAACTACTTCAAACTGTGGCATCCTGTCATATAATAGCTTTTTTTAAAATAGAAAGTTCTAAAACAACAGTAAATGGTTTAGGTTTTGTCTTCTCATGAGATACCACTCCCTGCTCTTTCCTTCCTGCCTTTTTTTTTTTTTTATCAGCATCCAGGGCTGTTTTCTAAACAACTAAAAACCACATTGGGTTCAAGCTGAGAATGAGGAAGAATTTAAAGTCAAAGATGTTTTTTGTAATTGGGCATTTTCTCTCTAAACTAGGTAAGATGGATTAGAAGATGCACAGTTACTTAGAGTTAGTTTATGAATGTCTTGAGTGGAAACCTTAATTTTTCTTGTTTTTCTTGTGCGTTCTCCTAGATGGAGAGCTACAGTCAAAACAGCAGTCCCATTAGAAATCTTGTTGAGCATAATCACTCTGCCCATTAAGATTATAACTGTGAACTTTGTCGTGATCATGGAAAATTTTTTAACAAGTGAATGCAGTGTTTGGCTCTCCTGCAGTGAGTTTATGCCCCATTGGCAAAGTGTGTGTCAATAAAGTAATTGAGAAGCAGGCAAAAAGGGATACTACAGACAAGTAATGGACTTGAAGGCTATTCCAAATTCCTACTTCTTATCAAAATTGGTTCTAAGAGTAGTTGAGAAAGTTATCGAAAGGTTAAAAACTACAAATTAAATTCTTGAAATACTTTGCATTCTACCTTCATGAGGCAGGAATAATTTCTTCTGGAGAAGAGCTTTTCCTCCCTGTGATTTTATTTTCTTTTGAATAAATTCATGATGTTGGGGTTTGCAAAAATTGAAAGTTTGCTAAAAAAAAAATAGTGGAATTAACACTGTAAAGAGTACTGAAAGGTTTCTGTTAACATTTCTGTGCAGATTCTGGAAGTCAAGTTTGGAAAAGAATAAGTAGAAATCAGAAATGGAAAAATTAGAGAAATGCAATATATTGGAATGTTTATGAAAGGACATTCATTTGGAGTGTTACTTAAGAAATAAATCCCCCATATTTTTCAAGGGAATGTGAAATAGGTTGTGAATGTGCAAAAGACTTTTGGAGTTGCCTGTTGTAAATGCATTTTTAAATTTCTTGGAATAGATGCAAGTTGGGAGACCATTGAAGAGGAGTTGCCTGAAGGCAGATGTGAGACAGAAAGAGGAAAGGGGAGGTAGCAGTGATATATGTGAGGTACATACGCAGTTATTTTTTTTTCAAGGGACTTTCTCTACGAAGTTGCAGCAGAGGTGCTTCCTGTTCTTGAATCTACGAAACAACTGCTTTGAATTTTTTGTGTATTTATACATAGAGTGACAAAAAAGATGGATTCATACCCTTCTTATGCTCTGAAATTCAATATGCAAGGCGTAACAGAAAAGGTATTTGAAATTTGTTTTCTGTTTCTTTTTTCATTGCCTAGTAGTCTGCGGCTGTGGCCACTCGGAAGATTTTGAGGTAGAAGTTTTTTAAATATGAGAAAAATCTTTGGTCTCTCTTTAAGATCTAACTTACTTCTGTCAACACTTGAAGATACCCACTTTTGTTAGAGATAATGGTGATGAATGTATGGTAAGAAACGTATGAAAGTGTATCTGGTTGTTGTCTTCTGTTTTCTTTCAATTTTTCAGGCAGAGAAATAGAGGTATGAATGGAGAACTATGTACTCTTCCTGGTGTCTGTTTTAGTTCTGTTATGCAGCTGACAAAGAGGAGGTGTCAGGGGTAATTATTCATTTATATGATATAAAGTTGGTTTTTGATGGCTTTCTAGCTTGAAAACTTCAACTTGAAATCCATGCTGTGCAGTGTAAAACTGTTTGTAAGTGTGACGGCATCCGAGACCGATAGATTTTGCTGATGGCAGATGAAGATGTAGAAGGCAGGAAACTGGTGCAGAGCCATGTTTGCTGGCTTTAATTTTCAAAGTCATTTCTATGTGGGATTGAATAGTGTTACACTGGTAAACTGAATCTGCTCATGTAAAACCTGAAAGCTTCTCTGTACTCCAGAGGACTTGCCAATATTACTGGCAGAGTTGGAGAGGTAAATTTATCTTAAGCAGGAAGTGTAGTGTAGTTGTTTTTGGAATTCTGGTGTATAGCTTGTGTTTTAGGATGAGTGAAATGGGGCAGGGATTTGTGTAACTGTACTGCTGCCTCGGGTCAGAAAAACAATCTGGATTTCTTGTTATGCAAGCAGAATACAATCTTTAAATAGTGCACATTAGTATTAGGATGTCAAAGATGTTCATGCTGAATCATGGTGCAGATCCTTATCTGTTGCTTATTATTTAATTTTCTTCTCTGTATTTGTTTGTCTTTATCACAACCAGCCAGAGGTTGCTAGGGGACTGAGAGTGATTTCTTGCTTGAGACCCTTGTGCTTGTTACACACCCCTATTGATCTCTGTTCATGCTTTCATAAAAACCTTTTCATAAAACTTTTCATAAAACATAAAAAGGTCCTGTGCATATTCCGGGGCCCTTTGCAGCTGAAGTTTGTGCTGCTGGGCAGGAAAAGAGAATATTTCCCATGTCTGAGAATACTTGGTATAAGGCTTGGTACCTGCCAGGGCAGAGAGCTGACCAACTCCTGCTGTCTTTCCCTGCTGCTTTGCCACAACCATTTGCAATCTCTGGCACCTCTGTGACTTCCTGCCTTTTCTCTGGGGTTTGTAGGCTCTTAAGGCCTTCACTGCTCTCCTCAGCAGTCAGTACTGCCAAGAAGTGATGTCTGGGTCAGCTTTGCCTCAGTAGCCACTTGTCATAAGTTCAGTCCCCATACAGGCCATTCACTTAAGAGTTGGACTTGATCCTTATGGGTCCCTTCCAACTCAGAATATTCCGTGATTCTGGGGAAGCTGTGGCATTAGCAGAGGCATTGAGGTTATATGCAGACTAGGGAAATTATTTCTGTCGGTACTTAAAAAGATAACTTGCTTTATGGGTCAGTGAATTGTTATGCTGGGGTACTTTTGATTTGTTTTTTTGGTGTTAGTTTTTTTTTCTCTTTTTACACACTTGGCAGGAATTTGCAGCTCATTTAATGAACTTTTTCTTTTGTTGTTTTTGGAAATTGTACTAGAATACTGTCTACATATTTGTTTTCAGGAATTGTTTTAGATTGTGGAAATCTAAATGAGAATGAGAGTCAGGAGTACTAGCTTCTTATTCCAAGTTTTGGGTAGGGCCATTAAACTTGTTATCCTTACAGTGAAATGCAAGAGAATATAATCATGTGAAAATGTTGTCTCTGAGGTTTTGTTCCTGTCAACAGCAATCAAGATTTTATGAGGAGAAATGTAACATCACAGGCTGTAATTATTTACTATTGCTGTTGTTATTACTCTTACAATGGTGAAAGCAAAACTAGTAAAACAAAATCTTTCCCCCTTTTCCAGCCCATCTCCTCAAAAAGACACAGACTGACCAAGATTGTCTTGTGCCAGTCAATAATCTGTGATTTGGCTGTGTTCACTCTTCTAAGGAATTGAGCACAGAGCAATGACAGCACTCTGGGCTGTCCTGGATGCC